GTGAGCTGAAGTTATCAGACACAACAAACAATATGACTGGTAGGATTTGATCTTAACAATAATTGTAGGAACAAAGTGAACCAACTAAGTACTGGGATACTCTACAAAAGAAAGGCATAAAGAGGCTGGAAAGAGAGCTCAGCAGTTAACACTTGCTACTCTTGCAAAGGATCCAGGTTCTAATCCCAGCACTCACACAGACTGACTCACAACCACCTGTTAATTCCAATTCTGGGGGATCTGACACCCTCTTCTGACCTCTCTGGGCATCTACATACATGCCATGCACATACAGACAAACAGGCACACATTCACACAAATAAAGGTATGGTTAGGTCCACTGGTTTTCCATGGGTTCGATTTCCAGTACCAATCTGCCAGGTCACACAAGCATCTGTAATTCTGGTCTCAGGAAATCTGATGCCTTCTTCTGGCCTCCTTGGACACTGCACACACATCATGCACAGATAAATGTGCAGCCAAAACTCCTATACATATGTGTGATGGTTTGAAAAATAATAGTCCCCAGGGCTCATATATTTGAACACTTTGTTTCCAGTTGGTCAAACTGTTTGGGAAGGATCAGAAGTGTAGCCTGGCTAGCGGAAGTGTTATCACTGGGGTGGGCTTTGAGATTTCAAAAGCCCATGTCATCCCCAATTAGTTCTCTACTTCTTCTCTCTCTTTTTCCCTCCCTCCTTCTTATGGACTAAAATTATGTTCTCAGTTACTGTGAGTTCCAAGTTAAACACTTCTTTTTATAAGTTCCCTTGGCCACAGTGTTTTGTCACAGCAACTGAAAAGTAACTAAGACAACATAAAATAAAACATTTATTTGAAAAATAAACTTTTAAAAGAAAAAAGACATAAGGGAAGAAGCTTACACAGCCTTAATCTTCCCTATGGCTTGAGAAGCAGCACAACCCTACAGTCATGCTAGGCACAGTAACTACTGCGACATGCAATACAGAGCACATAATAAATACTATTCAGAGGCAAGAAAGCCCACACAGCCCCAACATGAAAAACCACTGCTTCCCAGAGCATGAGAAACAGGGCTGATTCTCAGGACGATGTCTGTGCACCATGGCAAGCAGCGAAGGGGCAGTTAATTAGTGCTTTAGCCCCATACAGTGGATAGTGTCCTTGCTAGCCTGAGTGTAAAAGAATGTGCTTACCAACTTAGCTTCCGGATCTCTTCATCCCCCAGTGGAGGTATTTGCATATAGTGCTAGAATTCGGAGGGCACGTGCAAGGATTTAAAATTTGCACTCAGCCCTAATGTCATCACACCCAGAACTAATTGGAAACACACCTTAAAAGACAATCTGTCATCACTAGGATGTCCTCAGCTGACTGTACATTCTAACTCCACTCACACAGATTTTCTTTTCTTTCTCCCCACTTGTGCTCTGAAAGAATTCAAAGGATTTACGGAGAAGGAATTTGTGAATATCGCATCTCTAACAGCTGCTCCTTGGGCGTGCCATGTCTGTGGTGTCTTCTATTACAATACATAACCATCTCAGAAAACAAGCCTGAGCATCTGCTACCTTTCAGGAAACTGACTTAAAGCTATCCCTCACCTTCCACAGAGCCTAGGAGCCGGACCGCTGTGATTCTGAGTTTACAACTGCAGTTACTTAATGGCTAAGATCTCTAACAGCTACACATCCGGTCTCCTCAGCCTGCAGCATGGCCATAAACAAATAACTTGGAGATGAGCAGCTGATCCAAGTAGTTCATGTTTTGGGGCCAGGTGTCCTTTGTTTTTCATAAAGCACACCTGCAACTCTGACAATGATTCAAACAATCAGGTAATCAAAAGGAATTAAAACATCATAAAGGGTGTTAGGAATTTAGCTCAGTGGCAAGGTCCTGTCCTCAGCTCTGAGGAAGGAAAAAAAACCCAAAATAAAACATAAAGAAGTTGCGGCTATAGCTGTAGCAACGGGCTTGCCTGGCATGTTCAAGGCCCTGAGCTCAACTCCCATCAATCAATCATCAATCAATCAATCAATCAATGTAGGCCATTCTAAAACATGTTTCAGGATCCCAAATAAATAGAAGAATTGGGATATTTGATTAGAAAATTCTACATTTCACCTTACAAACTGTCTTCAAGGCCTTAAACTGTTACTCTAGTTCTAAATGAAGGCCTCTCTCTGGTACATCAAAAGTTGTGGAAAATGAGCCAGGTTTGGCACAGGCCTTCAATCCCAGCACTGGGGAGGCAGACACAGGTTAATCTCTGTGAGTTCAAGGCCAGCCTGGTCTACAGAGTGAGTTCCAAAAGAGCCAGGGCTACAGAGAAACCCTGTGTCGGTGGAAAAACAAAACAAACAAACAAACAAAAAACGCAACAATAAAATTCTGGAAAGTTACTGAATTGCTACATAATCACTCGAAAGGGAGATGAGGCCTAACATTTGTCAAGCTGAGCCACAGCAGTCCTAAATTCCACAAAGGAATACTATATATACAAACAGCACGGTTCAGATACTTGATAATTTTACGAAACTCATCTGTTATAAGATTTCCGCTGTCAAATAGAAAAAAAAAAAGTAACCAAAGACTGGATTACCACAGACTAGAGACTTCCAAGTGTAAGATGCTTGAGGCACCACCTCAGGCACCCCTCACCTCTGCAAGCTGGTGAGTCTTCATACACAAAACAAAAAAACAATAACGTACTCTTAAGTTACCAAAATTAAATGAATGAATTCACATTAAGTTGTCGTAATAGAGCCCAGCAAAGAAAGGGTAATTACATGAAATGTTCACTGCCGTGTTGGAAACTTTTTTTTTTTTACATCTATGAAACAGAGCCTCACTTTGTAGCCCTGGCATACCTTAATTTGCCCTGTAGCCTAGGCTGAACTTGAACTGGCAGTGATCGTCCTGCCTCTGCCCCTTAAGTGCTTGATTAAAGAATGTGCTATCACATTCAGTTAGTCACCCCAGGGTGACTTGAAACTTACTGTGTATCCCAGCATAGCTTTAAACTCACAGTGATCCTCCTGCCTCAGCCTCCACCGTGCCCCGATTACAAGCGTTGAGCCACAGCTGACAGGAGCTAGCATTTTTTAAGTGAAAACAGTACATGGTGGTGGCAACTGAATAGCGTAAGCCTAAAAATTAAACAGGTAGTTTTCGCCTGTGAAGATGGCATGTTTTTGGAGATGTATTTTCTTTTTACTCCCAAGGGAAGAAGGGATGTGCATGCATGAGGGCAAGTGCCTGCAGAGCTCAAAGGAGTGTGTCAGATGCCCAGGGCTGGAGTCTCGTGCTGTTTGAGCCACCCGACCTGGGTGCTATGAACAGAACTTGGGTCCTCTGCCAGAATACACCTTTGTAATTACCGAGCCATCTCTCAGGCCCAGGAGTGCAGCTTTAAGATATATGGAAGCTAAAAGCCACATACTGGGAAACCCTCACTTTAAACAGAAAGCTACAGCTTTCAAAACGGACTAATGCCATCCTAGTGCCTCATCTTTACCATCAATCCCAGCTTAACAAACTTCTATTGTCCTTCTTACAAGAATAGCAGGCCCTCCTGAAGGGCAAAACCAGTAACTTAAGAGTATATGGAGCCCTTAGCGTTTTCTGCTTTTACTAACAAATCACCAAGTAGAAATTCATGCCTGAAGTCAGCTGCCAAATGCATCTCCAACAAAAACTGCAGACTTTCATGTGAACAAATCTCTTCAACAATAGGGAGCTGTTCTAGTCTGTGAATAGAACAGTGTCAGTGTGACTAACACAGGGGGAGCTGTACATTCCTGACACTCCTGTCTCCTGGCTAGCCTCTGGCCATCTGTATCTCCCAACTGTGTTTGGTTTTGAAATAACTTTCAGGCAAAGTATATGGTCACCAGTATACGCCTGTCCTTATCACGGAGGCCTGCTTCCTTCACTCCTGGACCAGGTGCCCTCTTTCTACTGCCACCACCCCGAGTACCCCACTAGCATAAGCACCAAACACAAATATGCTTTGTTTTCGAAAGTCTGTCCACCCCCCCCACTCCCCACAGTGCCAGTGCCTTGATGTATTAATTTGTATTTTTTGGAAAGCATCATGGGCAGCAACAAACCCAGAAAACAAATGATCCAAAGGTTGAAGAGTGGTCCGGGTTGGGTTACCTGTGAGTAAGGAGTGGCGCTTTGGGCAACCTTAAGTTTGGCTTTACTTACTCGTTCGGCAGGCAAGCTTAAAAAAAAAAAAAAAAAGAAAGAAAGAAAGAAAGAAAGAAAGAAAAGAAAAGGGGGCTATTTAAAAAGCCTCTGAAAATGGGTTCACAAACCTACTTCACAGAACTGTTTTAAGGGCTCAGATAGTAGCTTCAAAGTACAGCGTGGTGTTTACAGAAAGTAAACTTACAGTGCTTCTGCTCAACTGGTCAGGGAAATACGGTCTCCCAGGAATTCCAGTGGGAAGAAAACGAGCAAAACTTTCAAGTTTAGCAGTGTGTCGGGATCAAAACGGCCCAGATGCTATTTGGGGGTAAGGGTCTCCTCCACCACGCTGCAACAAAGGTGCTCATCCCTGTGCAGATCCATCTCTGCGCAAGGATGGCCGGCCTTGCCCAGTTCGGCTTCTTTGTGACCCCAGCAGCTCCCGAGAGGACAGGCCTCTGGAGCTCCGCCTGGCTGGAGCTTCCCAATCCGCTCGTGGTCCACGACTTCTGAGCACCACGCTGCCGAATGGGGTGTTTTCTCCAGTTAAGTTTCCGAGCCCGGGAAGCAGCTGCCTCGATCCTGCTAGAATCTAGAGGGCCGCGTCCCCGTCCAGGACCAGCCGCATTCACGCGGGTCAGCCCGAGACCCGACCCGACAGCCCGCTGAGCCGCGCCCGCCACGCACCCGCAGAGGCCACCCCTCAACGCCTCGGCCGGACCGGGAATCCCGGGCACCGAGACCGCTATTCCACGGCGGCCCGGGCCGCTCAGTTCCCATCGCCACGGATCCCACTTCCTAGTGTCACAGACGCATCAACTCACCCCTGAAGAGCAACAGCAGAAAGAAGTCAGGCAGCCGCGCGCAGAGCCGAAGTCGCAGACGCCGGCTCAGCGCCATGTCGAGGGGTATCTGAGGGGCTCAGGCTGGCAGCGCCGAACCGGCCTTCTGCGCATGCGCCTAGACTGCTTGGACCCTGCGACCCGCCTCCAGTTACCATAGCGACCACACGGCCCCCGCCAGGCCGGCACCATGGTGACCGGAGAAGCTCAAGTCTGGTCGCTATGGATACAATGATGCTCAAAGCTTGCCGGTGGTATCTTGGTCAATGAACTTGGCGGGAGGAGGGTTAAAAGGCGAATCTAGGAGGGGAGCGGGGTGGATTTATAAAACTGTAGATTATTGCTACAGATCTAAGAAGGATTACTCCCCTAAAATTTAGGAAACGATGGAGCTGGAGAAATGGCTCAGCGATTAAGAGCACTTGTTCCTGGAGAAGCCCTGGGCTCCATTCCCAGCACCCACATGGTGGCGCATAACCATCTGCAACTCAAGTTCTAAGAGATCTGACATGGTCTTCTGACCTCTAAGGGCACTAAACATGTATGTGGTGCACACACATATATGCAGGCAGACACACTAAACAATTATATATATATATATATTAGTTATATATAACACATAATAAATACATATATATTAGTTAATGAGTGTTAGTTTACAAATAAAAATGTGTAGAACCAGGCAAGGCTCCCAGTGGTGAGAATAGGATACCAACCCAGCCACAAAACCTTCAATTCTCACCTGTCCTGAGTACAAAATGCTCTGGGTAATAGTGGCTCAGAGTTTGTGGAAATGGCCGACTAATGACTGGCCCAACTTGAGGCCCAAGCCATGAGAGGAAGCCCATTCCCGTCACTTCCAGGATGACCAGGATCCAGAAACTTGATGGCTCAGAGACCTGGGGTAGAACCAAACACACAGCTAACAACAACAACAGCAAATGATATGATTCCTAATGATATTCTGCTGTGCTCATAGATTTGTGCCAAGCTCAGTAGTCATCAGAGAATCAGAGCTGATGGGAATAGATGCAGAGACCCAAACCCACACATGAGGCAGAGAGAGCTCTAGAAACCCTGCAGGAGATGGGGAGGAAAGATCGTAGGAACCAAAAGGCTCAAGGACACCGGGAGAACGCGGCCCACAGAATCAACTAAGGAGGATCTCAGGGCTCACAGAGACTGAAGTGACAATCACGGAGCCTGCACGGGTCTGTGCTAGGTCCTCTGCATACACACTGTTTTGTGGGACTCCTAACTGAGGGAGTAGAGATGTCTCTGACTCTTTTGCCTGCTCTTGGGACCCTTTTCCTCCTACTGGGTTGCCTCTTCCAGTCTTGATCTGAGAGTTTGTTCCTAGGCTTATTGCATCTTGTTATGCTGTGTTCAGTTGCTATCCCTGGGAGGTCTGCTCTTCTCTGAAGGGAAAAGGAGGAGCAGAGGGTCTGGGGGAGAAGGAAATTAAAGGGGTGAGAGGAGAGGAGGGAGGGAAGGCTATGGTAGGGTATGAGAGAAGAATAAATAAAAAGAAAAAAGATGTTGCCAAGTAATTTTTCAAACAGTAGTGTTTCCATGCCTGTAAAGCCCCTGACTCCATAAGTTATGAAAGAAGAAGGTGCTGAAATCCACACAGAACATTAGGTAGCATACTCAGTACATAAAAACAATAAGTTGCTGTAGAAGTATAATAGTTTATCCTACACAATAGAAGGGTAGTTCTTGGTGCTGGCACTGAATCTTTTTTTTTTTTTTTTTTGGACAGAGTCTTGTTTATGTGGCTCCAGCTGTCCTAGAACTTGCTGTATAAATTAAGCTGATCTTGAACTCATATAAATCCAGCTGCTCTGCCTCCCAGTGTTAGGATTAAAGGTATGTACCACCATGCCTGGGTTTTTCTAATTGTTTTATTTGTTTATTCATTTGTTGGTTTTTCGAGGCAGGTTTTCTCTGTCTAGTCCTGACTGTCGTGGAACTCTGTAGACCACACTGGCTTCGAACTCACTGAGATCCACCTGCTGGGACTAAAGGTCTGTGCCACCACCACCCCACTATTTTTATTATTTTTAATTATATGTAAATGTGTACGTCTGCATGTGGGTCTGTACAAGTAAGTGCGTGTGCTCAGAGAGCACAGAGGTTCAGAGTTACAAATGGTCTGCAATGTGTGGAGTGGGTGCTGGGAAAAGAACCTGGGTCCGTTGGAAGAGCAGCAAGTGTTCTGAGCATCTCTCCAGCCCTCCTTTTCACTTTAAAAATGGTGGTTGTTGTTGTGTGTATGTGAGTACGGCCGTGCCATGGTAGATGCTTGTGGAGATCAGAGGACAACTTTGTGGACCCTCCTTCGCGTGGGTTCCAAGGATCAAACTCAGACTGCCAGGCTTTAGAAGTGACTGCCTTTACCCACTGAGCCATTTTACCAGCCTTGCTCGGAATTCTGAATAGTGGGAAATAGTAAGGGCAGGGAAGGAAAATGCAGCAAGATCTTATAAGCAGATGATGAGAAGGATAAAAAGGAACTGGACATCAGGCCTAAAGAGACTAGAGAATCTGAAGTGTCGCTTTGTATCTCTTAAGACAAGGGAAAAATTCTTAAGAAAAGCTTGCACAGCGTTTAATATAGAAAGAACATTCCTAAGGTTCCAGAAACAACATAGTTAACATGGAATTCTAAGCCTGTTAATAAAATGTGCCAGAAATTCCCAACAACCAATATTATTATTCAGTGGGTACCATAAGGATATTTCAAGGAATTTGAAAGAGAAATGTCATTGTCAAGCATGCCTCAGCTTCCATCCTTATATGATCTTCAGCATACATTTTATAAATGCTCAAACTTCTATAAATATGAATTGATTACTCCCCTACAACCCCCCAAAAAACTAATCTCAAATTAGAAATAAAAATTTAAAATCAAGCTGGGTGTTGGTGGCACACACCTTTAATCCCAACACTCGGGAGGCAGAGGCAGGAGAATCTCTGTGAGTTCCAGGCCAGCCTGTTCTACAGAGTGAGTGCCAGGACAGCCTCCAAAGCAATACAGAGAAACCCTGTCTAGAAAAACCCAAAACAAAAATTTAAAGTCACCTAGTATGATTTTACTTGTCTTTTCCTTCTGTTCATTTCAGCTTACCATTTGTCTAAGTGATAAGTGAATGTGTGTAAAAAGTATTTTTGCAATGGTGGCCTCTCTCCCTCATTAAACACAAAACAAAGTAGAGTTTTATGGGATTTTCCTTAAGCCTAATTTTTTTTTTGTTTTTTGTTTTTTTCCTACTCTCTTTTTTCCTCTGGTCACATGCTCAGTCATAGTTACCTAACTGAAGAAACCATTCTGATTGCTCGGGGAATGTGAGATGGTGTCTGAGTGTGGGCAGAGCACCATTATTTAGAAGCCAATGCCTCCTTTCTACTGCCGAATTCCTGTGTTTGCATTATGGCGTGGTTCTTTCCATTAAATGCCCTTCTGTCTTAGAGTTTCTTTTGGAATTCAGGCAGAGATCACAAAGATAGGCATCATGATATTCATAAAGGGCAGAGGTTCCTGGGAGAGGGGGTGGCAGGTGCTCCATTGTATACTATTGACTTCCCTCCGCCATGGCGTTTCCACGTCATGAATGGTGGCTAAAACATGCCCTTGGAAAGGAAATGCAGCTGGAGATGCTGCCAGGTAGGGTAACACATTTGTCTGTGATGTAGTCTGTTCTCTCTGGAGAAACTGAACTCAGCATGGAAAGAAATCAATGAAGTCAGAAGTACTGTTCTGGATGCATTTGGTAAATAGAGCTGGGAATCTGTGCCTTCACCACAGCGTAACCCATCGGAGTGTGTTGATTCTACTGTATGACATATTAGGGAGAGATGCGTCTTTTATTTTATTTTGTTTTTTTTTTGTTTTAGACAGGGTTTTTCCATGTAGCCTTGGCTGTCCTGAAACTCCCTCTGTAGACCAGGCTGGCCTCAAACTCAGAGATCTGCCTGCCTCTGCCCCCAGAGTGCTGGGATTAAAAGTGTGCACCACCACCACTGGCTGAGAGATGCATTTTCCTTCCTTCCTTCCTTCCTTCCTTCCTTCCTTCCTTCCTTCTTTTTAAAAGCATAATTCTGTATTGATTCTTTGGGAATTGCACATTATGTACACCAATGTCACTCACCTCTCGTTTCTGGCAAACCATCATCACTGAACCTTCTCTCAGTGATCCTGCTGCTGCCCTGAATCATGGAAATCCTGCAGTGCATTCTGCAGGATCAGTCCCTTCATGCACTCCAGCAAGCAGGTCATAGCTGGGGTAGATGGGCTAACCCAAGGTTGAGGATGTGGGTCTGGGTGGTAGCTGAGCTGGTTGGTCCAGGCCATTGGGACTGTTCCCCACAGGTGAGGGGCGGAGCCAGTCTCCCACAGCTGTGGTAAGGGCTGGGGTCCTAAGGCCTAGCAGTGGTGACTCATGCCTGAACTGATAGCCTGAGATTATAAAACACCTGAAACAAAGATGGAGCTCAACACGTATTTACATCTCAAACTTCCTCCCTTCCTCGCTGTCATACTTCTGATTGGGAAAATGGCTTCAATGTTCTGCAAGGTGAATAAAACACCCTCATTCTGCAGAAAAGTCAGAGGGAATGAAGACCAACGGCCAACTCTACATGGACAGTTAGTTGCTGTTTATTATATTCTTCCTATGATAATTTGGGAAAATGACTCAAGGCCTGAAAATTCTATGTAGACCAGGTTGGCCTCAAATTCACAATGATCTGCCTGCATCTACCACCCAAGCACTGCAATTAATGCCATATGTCACAATACCACCAGATAGCACTCTTTAAAAAAAAAATTACACCGAGTGGGACCTGGGAAGAAGAGAGGGGGTGAAGAGGAAGAGAGTTGGTCATGGGGGAACAGGAAGTTGAGGGGGTGGGGGTAGAATAGGGGGAAGAGGGAATCATAGGATCGAATACAGATCAGGCACCAGAGTGACCTCGAGTGATCTAAAGGGATAACACCAATTGACAAGCTAAGCAATAGTGGAGAGACCACCTCGAATGCCCATTCCTGATAATGAACTTGATGTCTATAACCATCCGGGAGCCTTCATCCTGTGACTGAGGGAAGCAGAGGCAAACACACAATTAATCA